AACTAGAGAGTAGAGGGCGCGTTTTGTTAGGAGGGGGGGGGGGGGGGGGGGGGGGAGTGGGGGGGGGGGGGGGGCGCAGTGATTGCAATGGATAAAAAAAAGTGTACGTAACAGTAGAAATAAAGCACAAAGTGAGACCAGCAGTAGTTTAGTAATACTTAATGTATCGAATTGGTCGACTTGATTTTTGAAAAAAAGTTTCCTAAAATTACTTTTGCCTGTGAAATAGCTTTCACTATGCAACAAGCTTAAAGTCAATGCCGTATTTAACTAACTGTATTCATCAAATTTTTTCAATAAAAGGGAAATTGCCTGACAGTAGTTCTCAAAAAAGTAATCAGACGCAAAAGAATTGACAGCTAATCAATGGACGATATTAGAAGATGTGACTAAAAGCTTAGTAAGACAATTAAGTTTAAAAGGTGGAGGGAGTGTTGGGGAGAGCGACAAAACTATTGATTAACTTTTTAATTTGACAGTTTTGGGGAAGCAGGAGCTTAGGTAGATCAGCAAGCATTGGGATCCCAAGTTTAGGTTACATAGATTCTTCCAAATTAATTAAATCAACCTGCTCAATGAGATTTTAAAAGGTTTTGGTTTATAAAATATAATCAATTTGTAACAGCCAACAGGACATTCTGTGCTTTCAATCCCAACTATTCTTTGATGGTAACTACAGCATTCCCCCAAATGCTACATTAACAGTTAACAATGCATTGTCAATCTATCTCAATCTTTTGACAGCATCTAATATAAATAAACTGTGCATTTGAAGGTCTAATCCTAATCTTACTTTTGAAAAGGATAGGAGAAAGGTACAGAAACAGATAGAAGAGACAGAGATTCATAAACAAGAACCTCTGACTGCCCTGGTCAATTTATTTTTGTATTCAGAAGATTCCGGGACAAACACTATGTTGCAAGCACGACGTGAGGAATTCATCATCAGTTTTCTCTTGTGTGTGCTTCATTTCAAGCATATTGTTTACAAAATTTCATTCAATCTTCAAAATATATACAAGACATCTTGATTTTTCAATCATGAATTTCTGTAGAAAGGCTTCAAAACAATTAGGGCACTTCAAAGCAATTACACACCACTGAAGTAGGCGCAATATATATTAATGAAATGCGATATAACCTTCAATGAATGACAGCCTGGAATTTTTGGGAGACTGGCTTGCCCTTCTGTTTTGGAATCAATATTGAATATTTAATTTCTTGGATACTGAAAATGATTTTCCCTTTAAGAATAGCTGGAAGCTCATTGCATGATCTACAGCTGTCCTTGCCTTGCCAGCACTGGACTTACTGCAGCATCACATTCTGCCAGACCAGGCACAGGAAGCCATTTGCTTGGCTTTTCATTTCAGTGACTCTCGCATAGGTCAAGGAGTCTGTACACAGCTGGCTCACATTAATTTGTAGAGAATCTGTAGTGACTTGTTACTTAATTTGTTATTCATCCACATGATTTTCACTTTACTTCATTAAAGTAAAAAAAAATTGGCTGATTTCCTCCAAAGATTTTCAAATTTGATTCTGAGATTTACTTTGACATTCTGTTCAAGTATGTATTGTTCATAATGCATTTTGTTTTAGTGACACTTGTTTGATTATTAGACAAAAATATCATACCCTGGGTTACAAATTGGTGATGCACAGTTGTTTTAACATAGTATTTACATGAATGCAATGAGTACTTGCATACTGGTTGAATAGCCAGCCATTGCTCAGGTGTAGTCAGGCTGCATTGTGTGTGTGGAAGGGCAAAGGAGAAAAGGAAGAATATGTGTCTGTACTCCCAAACACAGGAGATGCTGTACTTTCATATTTTCTTTCCTATGAGTTATTTTCTCTGCAAGGCTGAGTGATGGAGTTGATTGAAGAGAAGATTTAAATTCTCTACATAGGGTTCTGAACTATGTCATGAGTTGTGTTTAATTTTACTTATTTTTCTCAAATACATTTCCAACTTTATTCATGTGATGTCTCCTTTCAGTGAAAGAAAAAGTTAAAACCATCAATACAGCATTAAATATTTTATTATATTCATTTTTAACCCTGGTAGAGTACAAGACAGCAATGCTCTACATTCTCCATAAGTACCAATGAGTTATCTGAACTATCAGTAAAACCTATATTCATAGCACACAGAAGCAGCTCATCAAGGATAACATCGAAAGACACTATTCTCCTCCCTTTCTCCTTAGCCATGGGAACAAGGGAAGGGGAGGCAAGGTTGGGGGAAAGAGAGGATGGTGAGAACTGGGGGCTTCGGAAAAGTGGGCAAGGAGAGATATGGAGAGGCAGGGTGTCGGGGGAGGGGACGAGATCAAGACACAGGTGCAGTGCTGGGAACAACAGAGGAGGGGGACAGTGGCAAGGAGACAACGGGGTGAGAAATAGGACGTGAGAGAAATTGGGCAGAGATAAGGAGGGAAGGAGAGGGGGTGGCAAGAGAGCGCGAGTGCGTGTACAGTGAACAGAGCAGGGTGGAGGGTGGGGGGACAGCTTGCGCTAGAGAAAGATGGGGAGGGAGAGAAGGGAAGGGGGAGAGAAGGGAAGGAGTCGAGAGAGAGAGAAAGAGAGTGTCGAGGGAGAGAGAGGGGTCAGAAAAATGGCTCAAGACAAATGGTGAGAGAGAGAGAGAAGGGGGGTTAGTGAGAAAGTGGATGCGAGGGAGGTAATTGATCTGGAGGGATAAGACAGATGGTCAGGGAGCGCGAGAAAGAAATCGGGGGATGAGACATGGTTGGGGAGCAAAATAGATGATCATGGGTAAGTAGGGCAAGAAATAAATGGTCAGAAGCATGAAAAAAGGTGGTTTTGGGGGGAGGGGGATTATGGCACATACAAAAAGACAGATGGACCCAGGCATGGCGAAAGGGCTAAGGGGGGCGTTCAGGGGCCCAAGGAGACAAATGGATGGTGACTGGGAGATATGTTTGGGGGACAAGAGAGGTGGTTGGGGAAATGAGAGACAGTTAAGGACACAAAATGATAGCAAGGGTTAGGAAAGACAGTTGGGAGGTGGTGGTGAGAGATTTAGGCTGATAGAAGGGAGGGGAGCAAGAGAAGGGCAACGAGAATGGACAAGAGACATAGAGACAGAAAATGAATAAAGTGGGGAGGAATGGCATGAGGGGAGAATAAAAGAGAGGTGTGCACGTGTGACAGACAGAGTGAGAGGGAGCACCTTTCACCATGCCAGA